CGGGGCTGGCGGCTCGGCTGGGCTCGGGGGCCGTGTTCCCCTTGCCCGTGTCCCTTTCCCTGTCCCGGCCCTGCCCGGGGGTGCGCGGGGGGAGCCGGGCGGAGCGTGCGGACGTGTCCCGGCCTCCCCGCGGGGCCATTTTTCAGTACCTTCTTGATTATTATTATTATTATTGTTATCATTAATGCTGTTTTTTCTAGTTACCGAGCCTCGTCTTGCTTTTACCCCTGGGATTCTCTCCCCGCGGGCGGCCCCTGCCCTGACCCCATTTTCTACCCAGGAGGAAGGAGCCAGGGAAGGGGGAGCAGCCTAATGGCCGGGAACTCTGGTTCTCCTCTGGATGGGGAATTTCACCAAGCCACCCCCTTGATCCCGCCAGGGCCTCCGGCTTTATCTCCTCTCATGAGAAGTCACTGCGTCCCTGCTGGGCTTCTCCCCCCCAACCCGTTTCCCGCTGGTTCTCAACGCTATTTTTACATTTTTAGACTTCCTTGGTGAAGGATTCAGGGGCTCCATAAACTTTGCCAGCTCCGGGGTGGAAGGAGCAGAGATCTGGCACGGAGCACCCCCCGCCAGAGAGATGGCCGGATTGGAGGCAAAGCTAAAAATGGTGTTTTTTTCGAGCAGGGACAACAGAGCAAACCTTTTTTGAGTGAATTCTTCCCGTGTGCCCACCTGGAGCAGCTGAGGAACAGCTTCCCCTTATTGCAGCTGAAACGGTGCCGGTGGCTGAGCCTTCTAAAATTAGTGAGGAATGGAGGATTTCATTTGGAATCCGGGTTGTGTTTTGTCCCAGGATGGGAGTAAATCCTGGTTTACTTCAGCTTAACCTTGCTGGGATGATCCCTTCCCAGGAGACCCTCTGGGTCCAAAGGACTCTCTTGTTCACCCCAAAACTTCCAGGCTAATTCATGTGTTTTGCCTTTGTCGTTTGGAGCATGTGGAGGGATCCTCGTGCCTGGGATTGGTTTGGCACTCGGAATTTGGTGTCCAGAAGTGTCCAGGTTGTCTCACGTCGCTGTTTGTTGTCTAAAAATATCCAGTGGCGCCAACCTGGGCTGTTGAAAGGAGCCGGAGCGGCTCCTCTGACGACTTTTTAATGGAATTATGGATTAATTTGCTTGATTTTGGGATTTCCTTGGGCTGGGTGTTCCGTGTTGGGACTCACAAAGTTTTTGGGAGGTCTCCCGATGTTTTTAGGGTTGTTGTTTCCCCATCCCCACCTCGAATCCCGGCGTTCCCTCCGCGTCCGAGCCACGTTGGTTTGGGATGGTTGGCTGAAGGTTGTTGGGAATGTCTGAGGGTCAGTTGGGTGTTTGGGAAGAGCGGAATTCCCAGCGAACCGTGCCGGCTGTGGGGCGCTTGTGGCTTCCCCTGTTCCGTACCCGCCGCGGGGTGGGATGAGGAAGGACGTGCAGGGTTGGTTTTTTGGGATGAGTTGCTTTGGTAGCTTGGAACGTTGGGATTGTGCTGCTTGGAGAGGGTTCAGAGCCTGGTGAATCCCTTCCTTTTGCTGGGAATTACTCTCTGGATGGTTTGGGTGGGAAGGGGCCCTGAGGATCATCCCATGGCAGGGACACCTCCCACTGTCCCAGGCTGCTCCAAGCCCCATCTGAGCTGGCCCTGGGCACTTCCAGGGATGAGCTGGAGCTCCAGGCTGGGGAGCAGGCGGATGCTGAGCCGGGAGCCGACGGCTTTCACTGGGATTTTCCTGTGGGGAAGGAACTCTGGCTCGTTTTTGCCTCGTGGGTCGCTCTCCGTGTCCGCTCATCAAGCAGAGCTCGGATTCCTGGGAGCTCCGGTATCCAGCAGAACCAGGTCTCCTTGACTCTTTGGATGCTTAAATTTGGGCCAACCCAATTCCCAGAGCTGGGAGCTGCCACCACCACGTTCCACATGGAGCTTCTCCGTGGAGCTGCTTAGAATCCTGGATGGTTTGGGTTGGAAAGGACCTCAAAGCTCACCCAGGGACACCTCCCACTGTCCCAGGCTGCTCCAAGCCCTGTCCAACCTGGCCTTGGGCATTCCCAGGAATCTGGGGCAGCCCCAGCTGCTCTGGACAAGCTGTTCCCGATGGACACCGATGGATGTTTGTATCCTGCCGTGAGCAGCAGCCGCTTCAACTGCTGTTTCCTGGGAGAACATTCCAAGATTTGCCATCCTGAGGGTGCAGGAACCTCTTGGAGCCGCGACCCCTCCGTGCTGGGACTCCAAGGATTTCTTTTCCTTTTGTCACAATGGCAGCTGCATTCATCCATCTGCTCCTGGAGAGCTCCCAACGGGAATTCAGCTCCATTTTGGGGGAAGATGCTTTCCCAGGCACGCCGGTGATCCCTGTGGGCCCGTGCCGGGTGCTTTGGAGGGTTGGGATTTAGGATCAGAGCGGATTCCTTCGGTTTTGATACGGATTCCGACAGTCTGGAGCTCCAGGATTTTGGCTGTGGCTGTTGCCAAGGATTTTATTTTTGATGTTCATACTGTAGAGTCTCCCAGGCTGTTCCCTGTCGGTGTCACTTTGGGACTGGCTGGTTTTTCTGGGAATCTGGATTCTGTTTTCTGCCTTTCCCTGATGGAAACCATCCCAGGGGGTCGGTTCCC